CATTATTATCATTATTATTATTGTTATTATTATTATTATTATTATTATTATTGTTGTTGTTATTATTATTCCGATTTTTGAAATTTGAATTAGTTTTCCCGCCAATTATGTTTAATTTTTCATTGAATAAAATGATTCTTCGATTGGACGGATGGCTCCGTTCGTTGAACCTGTTTCTCGTTAGGGCAAACGAACGAACGAACGAACGAACGAACGAAAGAACAAATGAATGAATAATAATAATAATTATTATTATTATTGTTATTATTACTTTGTCTGTTATTATTATTTTTGTTGTTGTTGTTTCGTGACGATCTTTTTCGCTATTTCATAATAATAATAAATATCAGTAACAATTTTATTCAATCTAAATCTAAACATACGAATATTAATAATAATTATTTTTAATAATTTTTTTACATAACGATAATAATAATAAATAATAATAATACAAATAATACTAATAATAACAATTAAAATGTCTATTTTGAGCAATGTTAGTACGCAATGACAGATGAATGAATTTCAAGTTTTTTGCGCCAATTTTAAAAGTTTTCCCGCCATTTTTAAGAATTCTATCGATGATGCTATCGTTTTTCGCGCCAATTCTAAAAGTTCTCCCGCCATTTTAAAGAATTCGATCGGCCATGTTAACATTTTTGCACTATTTTACTGGGATTTCATCATTGAAATTTCAACAATTTTTTCAAAACCTCCATTCGTCACCATCTTCATCATCATCATAGCATCAACATCATCATTATCAACACCATCGTCGTCGTCGTCACTAGGTTGTTATGTATGGCATAATGGCCTACCAGCAATTTCTACTTGGCTACCTCATCGTGCCTATAAAAGAACACAAATCCGTTCCTTATATCATGTTTGCAGGTATATACAATCAATCAATCAATTAATTAATCAATCAATCAGTCAATCAAATCAATCAGTCATCCAATCAATCAAATCAATCATCTATCAATCAATCATCAAATCAATCAGTCACTCGATCAATCAATCAATCATCTATCAATCATCCAATCATTCAAATTGCCAAACAACCAACCAACCAATCGATCTACCGACCAACCATTCAAACAAAACAGCTTTCGTCTGCTTCACTCTAGCCATCATCCTCATCTGCGTCTACTACATGATAAGCCCGGACAACACATATGTCTGGTACGTCTGCATCATAGTCTTCCTACTGGCTGTGTGTGAGTTCATCTTTTGTTTGATTCTCTTGTTCGAATCATTTTCATTCTCGTTAGCATTATTATCTTATCAGTAGTAGGTACCTGATTAGCATTATTATTATCAACACGTACAGCATTGTTATCGCCTTGAACAACTGCTATGTTGTCGTCATCATCTTCATCGCCACCATCATCATCTTCATTTTCATCATTGCCAGCACCATCATCATCTTCTTCATCGTAACCATCGCTTCTTCTTCTTCATCATCATCTTCATCGCCATCATCGTCCTCACCATCGTCTACATTATCATCACAACCACAATCTTCTTCATCATCACAACCACTGTCTTCTTCATCATCATCACAATCTTCTTCATCATCATCATCACAACCACTGTCTTCCTCATCACCGTCACTATCTTCATCATCATCATCACCACCACAACAACCATTATCACTATCATCCTCACAGTTGCTGGTATCATCGTCATCAACTTCATGCACCCGAATGATAAGACCTCAGACCTGTTCCCTCATATAGCCAGGTTCCTCTTTGCGTTCGCATCGCTCGTCTGCCTGTCTGCCTCCATCGCTCTCCTTGTCGACCTTTGCATGGATTGAGTGTCTGTCTGCCTGTCTGTGTGTGTGTGTGTGTAACGTTGAATTTTCACTTAAGCAAACTTCTTCCCAAAGTTAAAGAAAGAATGATCTCTTAATCTTGTGTGCGCGTGTGTGTGTGTGGTGGTGGTGTGTGTGTGTGTGTGTGTGTGGTATGTGTGTGTGGTATGTGTGTGTGGTGTGTGTGTGTGGTGTGTGTAACGTTGAATTCTCAATTTAGCAAACTTCTTCCCAGAGTTAAAGAAAGAATGATCTCTTAATCTTACTAGATCTCATTTTTATTTCATTTTGCAATTTGGAATCACGCTCCGCTCTAGCCGTAGTAGTAGTAGTAGCAGTGGTAGTAGTAGTAGTAGTAGTAAAAGCAGTAGTAGTAGTAGTAGTAGTAACATTAGTAATAATAATAATAATAATAATAACTATATCATTATTGAGATATTCTACCATTTAGAATAAAAAAATAAACCCCAAGTAAACCAAAAACCAAAAATCCTAAATAAATAATTGGTGACGTCACGCACATACATAGGGAACACTAATAACAACAACAATAATAATAACAATAATAATAATAAATAATAATAATAATAATATTAATAATAAATAATAATAATAATATTTAAAATTAACTGAGCGTCAAATTAGAAGCAAGTCTAAATAGCCAAACGAATCAAACATGGGTCTTGTGAAGAACGTAAGTTATCCCTATCACCACCACCGTCATCATCATCACCACCACCATCCTCATCATCATCATCATCATCACCATCCTTTTCATCATCATCATCATCATCACTATCGTCATCATCATCATCATAACCATCATCATCGTCATCATCATTTTCATATACATTATTGTCATCATCATCCTAACCACCACCATCATAACCACCATCACCACCATCATCACCACCATCATCACCACCATCGACACCATCATAACCATCATCACCATCATCATCATCATCATCAGTGCTGTATGTATGGCCTCATAGCATTTCAACAGTTTGCCATGGGTTACTGTCTCATCCCAATGGAAGGAAATTTAACGCTGATCATGCTGGCTTGTAAGTTCAATTCTTACGTTTTATTTTAAATTTCCCGTCACTGCACTACTGTTCATAATTAACATAAATTATCATAATTTATTCATGATTTATTCATGATTTAGCGATGCTGTGTTTTACCGTTGGCATGTCGCTGCTGTTGGTCTACTACATGATAATGCCACGAGGTAGCAAGATATGGTTCATTTGCATTACAATATTTCTTCTCGTTGCCGGTATTTCTGTGTTTGTTTGTGTTTGTTTGTGTTTGTTTGTGTATGTGTTTGTTTGTTTGTGTGTGCGTGTGCGCGCGCGTGTGTGTTGCTTGTTGAATTTGTCACTTCACTGGCTCAATCTATCATATTAATAATGATCAACTTAATCAGAAAACTTTTAAAATAAAACGCCCGCCAGCCAACACCAACCACTCTTCTACTCTTCAATCACATTACCAATCAATCAACCAATTAATCAACCAACCATCTAACCAATCAATCAACCATCCAACTAATTAACCAACCATCTAACCAACCAACCAATCAATCACACAACCAACCATCCAACCAATCAACCATCTAACCATTCAAACAATCAACCAACCAATCAACCAACCATCTAACCATTCAAACAATCAACCAACCAACCAATCAACCAACCAAATAATCACAGCCGGATTGATAATCATGACGATAATCCTATTCCCTCGGGATAGCTCAGCGAAGGGGATCTCCCACAACCAGAATGTATACTTCCTGATCGCATTTCCAATCCTCACAATCCTCATTATCGGTATCACCTTGCTGGTTCTTATGTGTATCAATAACTGAGAGAGAGAGAGAGAGAGAGAGAGAGAGAGAAAGAGAGAGAAAAAGAGAGAGAGAGAGAGAGAGAGAGAAGAGGCAGAAGAAACAGGCGAAAATTTGGATGCGAAAAGTTGAAAAAAATAGTTTCTCATCTGTCTATTAACTAATTCGTTTATTCATAATTTCATTCAGTTGTCCATTCGTTTATTCAATTCATCGATCAATCAATCAATCAATCGTTCTATCATTCATTCCTTTATTTTTTCATTCATACATTCGTTGGTACGTTCATCATTCGCTCTAATAGGCTAACATATTAACAACATTGGAGTTTATATAAAAATAATCACAACAACAACAACAACAATAATAATTATTATTATTACCATTATTATTGTTATTATTATTGTTGTTGTTCTTGTTATTGTCTTAAATAAATTTTTTTATTACCATTATTTTGTTTGGATTATAACAAAAAAAAACCTAAAGCAACGAAATGTGAGCTACATCGAACAATCAGTCTCGATAAGTCATCTTGCGAAACTTGGCAACTCGGGAAGTTCTTGCTTCACTCGAAACTGTATATGTGCAGATTCTGATGATGATAGTCTGTAGCAAAATTAGGCTTGAAATTTCATAGTCCAATTTATATTTGAAGAGAGAGGATTGTGTTCAAGAAAGGCTATCTTCATGCTACGAATGACCAGTAAACGAGCCAATTTTAAAAGAAATGGAAAAAAAGATTAACTCTGCTGAGATGTGTTTTTTTAATCAAATTTATTCACAAAATATGGATTAAAAAAATGGTTCTCGAGAAGAATTATGAAAATTAGTTGGACCTCTGATACTTCGAATGAGGATGTATTAAAACAGTCCGGTTATGAAAAGAGGAAATTACTGCAGATAATCAGACGGGGGGGGGCAGTTAAAAGTTTTTTGGTCACATCATGCGGAAGGAAAGAATGGAAAATCCAACAACCACTGGCAAGATAGCAGGGAGAAGAGGTCAAGGTCAATGCGACGAACAACGTTTTACTATCCGAGAGAAAATATAAAGGCGTATAATGAAACACATCCCTACAAAAATAATAATAATAATAATAAACAATACCAATAACAACAATCTCGGCAAAACCATCATAAATAATTAAAAATAATAATAATGAAATTATATTAATAATAATAATAATTAAATAATAATAATAATATTAAATATTATAACAGCAAACGATTAGGGAACATTTCTTCTCCATGAGTATCCAGAAAATAACATGGGAGGGATCTTAAAGAATGTCAGTCGCAAAAATTATAATTATGATAATTATAATAATAATAATAATTATTGTTATTATATTATAATTATTATTATAACTAATGAAAATATTATGATTATGATCGTAAATGTGATTTCAATTGTTATCTACAGTGCAGCATGTACGGGATTATAGCTTTTCAACAATTCCTTCTCGGCTATATTCTAACTCCTTTCTCTGGCTACATACCAATACTAATGTTTATATGTTAGTTCTTTTTTAGGGATTAGGGATGATGTACACACACATACACACACACAGACATACACACACACATACATTATAATTATAACTTTATTAATTATAACTATAATATAATAATTTTAATTTCGAAGGTTTTGGAACATTTTCACTAGGGATAATTCTATTATGCATGAGGAAGATAACAGCTTCTGGATCTCCTTTTTACTGGTACATAGCCATCGTGTTTTTTTTACTAGTTTCAGGTATGTGTGTATGTGTGTGTGTGTGTGTGGTGTGTGTGTGTGTGTGTGTGTGTGTGTGTGTGGTCTGCTATTTCACTAAGCCAACACTAACAAATATCTATAGGAATAGTTACTAACGATAATGTCTTAATAGTTAAGCACACAGACACACACAAACACACAAACAAACACACACACACACAAACACACAATCACACAAACACACACACAGTAGGTCTAATTTTAGCAACAAACGTCCTATTTCCGGTAGCGGGAGAAGCGTCTCCAAGACCAGTGGTTCGATTCCTACTAAACTTTCCAGCCCTAGTTATATTATGCATAGGCATTTCGCTGCTAATACTACTCGTCATCGACTTCTTTGATTAATAGTTATTATTTTAGAAGATTTACTGTCATAATTTGTGAATGTATGTGTACGTATGTGTCTATGTGTGTGTGTGTACGTGTGTGCGCGTGTGTGCGTGCGCGAGCTACTTGAAAATATGACGATGAAGATAATAACGGTGAAAAATATTGACTTGTCGTTGATTTAATTTTATGAAAATAGTTTTGACAAAAATAAAAATGAAATTGAATAAATACTCTTTTTTTTGCATTAATTTGTTTACTTCGCGTTTATCTGGTACCGCGAAGTTTTTTAGCAACACGCACACGTACACACACACACAAACACACACACACAAACACACACACACACAGTGACGTAAACGTTATTGACTAAAGTTAACATAAACACTAATCTTATTTACGACCAAAAATAAACAATCCCATCAGTCTGCCTACTAAATTTTACTCGCATTTTAATTTGGAAAACCAATAAAAGCTTATTTTTCTCGTAATTTAACACACACACACACACACTCACACACACTTACACACACACACTCACACTCAGTCACTCTCACGCACATACATAGTTAATGACATTCCAAACGAATTTCAAATACTCTGAAATTAACTATAAGACGACGAGAGAGCCGAATTCGGGTTTCCGTGAAAATGGGAATTCTGGGATCTAAAGAAACGACTCAAGGCGATTTCATCTCGAAAACGATCGCGAAAAACTGTGTGGTTCTCTTTATAAAGGATTCCTGCCCATTCAGTCAGGACGCGCTGGAAATTTTCAACAAATTGAAGATCCCGTTCTGCTCAGTGAGCCTGAATCAGATGGAGGACATGGACAAGATGCAGCAGAAGCTTGGAGATATGACTGGCGCTAGAACGGTCTGGTTTGTTGGCACCTCTCTCTCTCTTTCTCTCTTTTAGTACTTCTTCTCTATTTCTTACTCTCTCTCTTTCTTTTGTTAGAATCTAGTTATGTCTAGAGTTATTTTCAATTAATTGACAATATTAACCATTTAACGTCATCATCGTAAACATGAACATCTAGCATCACGACAGAAACCTAACCTAACAAAAAAAATTTCAAATTCTAATCGCGATTTGATCACACCGCGGCCCAAACAAGCAAACATGATTCGTTTCCTCGATAAATTCATGAAAATTTTACCAACCCCAAGGTACCAAGGGTCTTCATAAATGGTAAATCAATCGGAGGGGCCGACGAAACTCTGGAACTGGCCCAGTCAGGAAAATTATTAGAAATGGTGAAAGAATGTGCACCAGAACTCTTGAAATCTGCTTGTAAACCGGATTTTGGAGTCAAAAAACGCAACTGACACCCAACATACTATCATAGTACCCGAAATAGACACAGTACCTCTTCATATTAAGTTTTTTTTGTATCGGGGTACATACATACGTTAGCCAATATTTTTAAATTACGTACAAGACGATTGTTTGTGCTAAATCGGTTTATTATTTGAGATGATTAACGAATAACCTCAAACAGAGCAAATTTTAATGAAAATAATTTTATTTAACTAATTTTGACGGTTAATCATTCTATTATTTTTCGTTTTTGTTATTTATTTCAAAGAAATACAACTGATTCATCAACTAGCTTGTTTATTTTATGCATTTCTTATTCAAATATTTTAAGTTATAAAACTAAAATGCCTCCAGATGAAGAGTCTAGCTAGATTTTCATCCAACAACTCGACCAAAGCAGTCAAACGATATCTTAAAAAACTAAATAAACTTGACAAACCTTCACTACTAACCAAACGAAACACAAATGAAAGAACAGCAATTATAACGAATAATAAGAATAAACATAACAAAATAACAATAATAATAATCCTCATGCCGAAATGAAAATAAACTGTAAGATTCCACTGGTTAAAGAGAATACAGCCACTACAGTAAGATTAACTACATAGTAAAACACTGACGAATCTGAAGTCTTATGCTTCTTATTATCGTCCATCAAAGTCAGGATGACTGTGACCACAGCAAAACCACCTAAAAAATATAAAAAAATTATTCCTTAAGCATACTATATATAATTATATATATATATAAATTAATTATACTTACACACACATACACATACATACAGAGTATCACACACACACACATACACACACACACACTAACACATACATTGTAACATAAACTCATATATAACTTTCACAGCTATACCATTACACCACCAACCAGCCAACCAAAACTGAACTAAAAAACCCTCCCCAGCCAACCTGCAACTAGAACCAAAATGGCGGCGACAATTTTGGCAACTTTACTGTTCGACCATTCCCCAAAGGTGATTTGCACGTAGACCATAAAAGCTATGGTGATGGAAGACAATGTTCCAATTTCCACAAAATCCCTTTGGAAGATCTCCTGCTTCACAAATAAGTACAGTTCCAACTGATAGGCCAGGAAACAGAAGAATATTGGATAAGATTTTTTTCCTTGGCCAACTAGCATTCTTATTATTTTATTATTATTTTTTTTTTATTTTAATGATATTATTATTATTTAATAATGTTTCAATTTAGTGAGTTAAATGTCAGAAAATTAATAACATCTGCTTAGTTAGCTAGTTTTATTTATATCATTCAATATTAAATTTATTCAGTAAATAATATGATTGTATTGAAAATTATTTAAAGTTCGGAAAGTTAAAATAAATTAAATTAATTACAATCTATAATGTATAATGTAGTTATAAATAACTCAATCAATTTGTAACAATTTTAATCGTAAATACTATTCAAAATGCTCTGAAAACCGTTTTTATTTGAATTAATTTTAGGCACGTATGCACAAGTATGGAAAGCTCTGTTTGACAATAATAGCTAATATTATATTTTTAATTCGCATATTATTAATTTAAATTATTTTATATTAAATACAAATTATTTTAAGATAAAACTGTTTAAATAATAAAATATAACAATACAAATTTATTTTCAGTAATTTCCCATCTCAAAATTCACCCGAAACTTTCAAAATACGTTATAGGCCGGAATACGATTTCAAAATAGCTGAGTTCGTTTCTTGCCAAGAAATTTCAATTTAATGATCTATTACTATTCATAATTTCATAATTTTATCGCCGAAAATTCTGTAAAATTCTACATTTTTCTATAAATTTTTACGCTTTTCCTCTCACAGATTGCCACATCGATAGCATCTCACTGAGAACCTAACAAAAAAATGGATCTCCTCTATCAAGTATTTCTCACCATGTTCAACTATTTGATTGGTATAATAAAAAAAAATTATTCCATAATTATAGTATCATAATTATATCGCCTTAATTATTTTGCCATACTTATTATACCATAATTATTATGCCATAATTACTTCAGTGTATTAATAGTATCAGCACAATTTTTTTTATAAGAAATATAAAATTATACCTAATTTTTTAGAGTGCCATGTACTTGTTGATTGCGTACCAGCAGTTCGTATTCGGGTACATGTACACTTCAACAGCCAAGAACTATCAGTCCTTCTTGATCATCATAGCCTTTCTGTGCATCACGACAGCATTGGTGTTGCTCTGTGTATTTGAGATTGAAAATCAGAGCAACAAGAAGGTCTGGCTGATCTGCATAATCGTGTTTCTATTAGTTGAGGGTTTGTTGGTTGGTTTATTGGTTGGTTGGGTGACTGGTTGGATGGTTGATTGGTTGGTTGATTAGTTGGTTGGTTGGATGGTTAATTGGTTGGTTGGTTGATTTTTTTTATAATTAATTCATTTCTTCATCTACCTGTTCAGCTATTAAATAAAATGTTCATTCATCAATCGTTCATTAATTCGTAATGTTCGTTCGTTCATCCATTCGTTCATACATTCACTCAATCATCTATTCATTCACTCATTTATTCATTCACTCATTCATTCGTTCGTTCGTTCGTGCAGCTTCATTAGTGCTGTTACTGAACATAGTGCATAGCAACGACAAATATCATACATTCCATGCCAATCAAAGATTCCTCTTGGTCTTCGCGGCTATAATCTCTATAGCCTGTGCAGTGGCTCTTATTGTGGAGACGTGTAAAGGTTGATTGATTGACTGGTTGATTGATTGACTGGTTGATTGATTGACTGGTTGATTGATTGACTGGTTGATTGATTGGTTGATTGATTGATTGATTGATTGATTGATTGATTGATTGATTGATTGATTGATTGATTGGTTAATTGATTGACTGGTTGATTGGTTGCATGGTTGATTGGTTGCATGTTTGATTGATTGACTGGTTAATTGATTGACTGGTTGATTGATTGATTGACTGGTTGATTGATTGATAGATTGATTGACTGGTTGATTGAATGACTGGTTGATTGATTGATTGACTGGTTGATTGAATGACTGGTTGATTGAATGACTGGTTGATTGACTGGTTGATTGATTGACTGGTTGATTGAATGACTGGTTGATTGAATGACTGGTTGATTGATTGACTGGTTGATTGATTGACTGGTTGGTTGGCTGGTAGTGTTGGTTGAATTTTATTTGAATGATAAACACGCTGAGTGTGATGTCCTTTGATTTTGAATGATCTGAATAGCTGGTGTTGTCTAATTGATACATTGATTAATTCTCAAAACAGTTTTCTAGTTTCTAAATGATTTTTAAATTGTTCTCAGTTTGTTTTTCAAGTTAGTTAAGATAAAAATTATTACCTTGCATCGTTGTTTTCATGCGGTTAAATGTTTGATTTGAATTTTATAATTATTTCAAGAGCAAGTATCACGAGTCGTTTTGATTCCGCGGGTCATTAAAACTTTTGAAAAATAAAAACATTCAAAACGATTTCACAGCACACACTAGTCTTTTTTACAAGCCCTACGAAATTAAAATAATTAACGTTAAACATCTCTCTCAGTGTCAATATCTGTGTATCATCTTGTTTATCAGCAACCATCTCGTCCTTCTTTTAAGATTCAGAAGCAGGCTTTTACAGGGGTGTCATTTCAGATTTTGGTTGGGGGGGGGGCGAACTTATGTGGTCTATGACTTAGCATGTAACGTATATATATATATATATATATATATATATATATATATATATATATATATATATATACATATATATATATATTAATAAAGTAAGTTTATTAATGTAATGTATATATATGTATATTATGTAAGTTATGTATATATATATATATATATATATATATATATATTAGTAAAGATCACGGCGTTTTTTACAGTACTCAATCTATATAATAGTTTCTCGATTCTTCGAATAATTCTCCGATCTACCAAGCTTAACTTGTTAATACTATTAACAAAATTCCTATTTACAGAAGATGTCATTATCTACATGTATGCATATAGTACTATTTCGACTACCTAGTCTCGTCAGTGCAACATTATAATAAATTTTACATTTTTAAAGTTTTTAAAATTTCTAAATTTTTAAAGTTTTAAAATTACTAAACTATATATCCTATTATATCCTTTTTACAAAGAATTTAAAATTTACACTTATAATTTATAATTTTAATATTTTATAATTTTTCTTTGGGGGGGGCAATTGCCCCCCCTGCCTCCCCCCAAATGACGCCTCTGGGCTTTTCTCTGATTGCCTTCAACGTCCACAGGACATCTTTAACAACATTCACTAAACTTTCAACCTATTTGTAATCCAACCTACCAAATTCCAACAAATCATCATTGCTTTTGGTTTTTTATACACAAGGGATCTGACATTCTTCCTCCAAATCTCAAACCCTGGTTAAATCCCAGATGGTCGAAACGATTCTTGCTGTTTCTACGCTAGCTATTGGGGTTATATTTTTGGATTCCTGGTTGAATACATGGATATATTTTATCCTTTCATTACGTCATTAAAACTTTAAAGTTGGAGGTGAGTTTTAATCGAAGTTTAATTTTAGTTTTGTTACTTCAGGTGTTTGTTTATTAATCAGTTTCCATGGTTACGATAAATTAATGTGCGATTGAAAAAATTTGAATTAAACTGTCGACAAAAGACAGCTTTTTTTGCATAATTAATAAACTTGTCATTAATTTGTCAAAATGGATAAATTAGTTTTGAAAAATTTTTTAAACGTCGTCGTTAATTTCATTGGCAGAGACGGGCGAACTAAATTGGTGCAACTGGCCGAAGACGACGACGATAACAACAATAATGTTGCTCTCGTCTGCTCGAGCTTCAAACTTTTCAACCAACTTCTAATTCACAATGATAACAAATTAGTGAAATTTATTTTGTCGGCCATTCTACGTCATTTAAGTCATCATCACGATGGGGGTACTTCAATAGCTGTTCTCTCCTCATCTATTATTTTGGTGGGCTTATTCATAACATTTACCTACTAAATTAATAATATTAATTGTGTATTAGAATTAATTTTTTTTTTATAGAATTGCATGGAATTAGACTTAAACCGCTGTTTGATTTCTGAAGTACTGGACCGTTTAACTGACGAAATTGTGAATTTTTTGAATGGAAATAACTTTCCTGGTAAATTTCTGTTTAAATATGAAAAAATCGATCATTCCCTAGGTGTCATGAACGCTTTTTTAGACACAAAACTCAAAAAATTAGGAATAGATGAAAGTGATTCTGAAATGTTCAAGATAAAACTGTTGGAAGGTTTCTTAAAATCGATCAAAGGCCAACTAGAGTTTGAAAATTCATACAGAATTATCGTTCTACCTGATAAAAAACCAAACTTAGAAGTCGATATCATAAACGGGTGCCTGTTAGAACCATATGAAGAGCCTTTTAAGCACCAAATAAGGTACCTTCAAAATAGAAAGTTAAATATACTTCTATTTTCATGTTTCTTAGATGAAAATTTAAACAATTCAGATATAGATTGCGATATAAATCTCAAAACATCAAACAATATCTCGCTAAATAAAACTCAAACTTCACTAATCATCGATTCTTTCAAAAAGATTATGGCAAACCTAAAAAACATAGACATAATAGCATGCCAAAAGGTGGCCTCCCCAGATATAAAATTATTTCTAAAATCATTAAATGTACTATTAATAGACAGATTAGGGAAAGAACAAATAAATTTTTTAGTCAGAGTGACACACGCAAAATTAATAAAAAGCCCCATAGAATCAATAACTAATGATCATTTAGGTAAAATCGGAGAACTTAAAGTATGGAAAGCCACAGAAGATGATGAAAAAGAATATTTAGAGTTCATCTCAGATTTTGACGACTTCGTAAGTATCGTCATATTCAATCCTTATAGAGAAACCTTTGAAGAAGTTAAATATCTATCCGAATGCTCTTTTAAAATTCTAAAAAATTTGTATAACCTCCACACCGACAGTCCCAACAAAAACTGTCAATTAAATAAGAACGATGTCTACTTACTCTCTGGAACAGATTGGGTGTTAGAATTGGTGAAACATTTAACTAATCTGGATGACGAATTCTTTGGAAAACTTATCCAAGCAAGAAGAGCAGTGGACAGCGTCAAAGATTCATTGAAACTTCTGCTGAATAATAATAACAATAATAATAATATGGATAATAATCATAATAAAATTAAATTATACTTCCTGTCACATGAAAACGCCATAAATACAATTCGGATTTCGTTCTTCATATCGAGAACCATCTTGAGAGCGTCGAACTTCTTTCAAGAGACCGATGAATAAATAGCAATAATAATAATAAATAATAACAACAATAATAAATAATAACAACAATAATAAATAATAACAATAATAATAATAAATAACAATAATAATAATCACGATAACAATAATGGAAAACCGACGCCCATACGGCTATGGGAAGTTTTATTTCGGAACTGAAACTTCAAAGAAGCATTAACGTTCTATGGAAGTAGCATTAACTGAAGACAAACAAACATACAAACACACACACACACACACACACACGTATAGATACTTAAACAATATACACGGACTAAAAATATAACATGCATCTACATATGCAAATAAGCAATGTACAGTGGTATATATACATATATAATTTATACAATACTATGTATATATATCATAGCATATATTATATATATATATATGTATATATATATGTTTATATATATATAGTGTAATGAAGCTTATAACATAAACCATGCTTATATGAAAGACAGGAAAGCATTTGAACTAATACTATTGTTCGTAATAATTGTAAGAGTCATCATAATTTCAATTAAATTATGACTATAATTATTATAATTATTATTGTCGTCATCGTCGTTATTGTTGTTGTAATTACTAAATTTGTTGTTGTTCTTTGTTGTTGCTGTTCTTTCCTTTGTTCTTTCTTTTCTTTTCTTTCCTGGCAAGCATTTCCTGGAAAGAATGTATGCATTCATTATCGCCCTCCATCTCGTCATCATCATCAGCATCGTCGTCGGTGTCAGCTTCATTATCATCATCATCATCATTATCATCATCATCTTAACTACAATCATCATCATCATCTTAACTACAATCATCATCATCATCTTAACTACAATCATCATCATCATCATCGTCACTACAATCTTCGT